TGTTTTTTCTGAGTGTTCGATCTTTGTATTAATAATTATAACAAACTCTTAATATTTTAATTATTTTAATATACCTGACTAAACTTGATTTGCTAATGTGACGCGAAGAATTTATTTTGATAAAATTGTAATTATGTTTATATTTTAGAGATTAGTGAATTTTATATAAAGATTCGTGTTATCATAATATGTAGTATAATGAATAGCGGTAGACAACAAATTCACTGTATTAGGAGTAACAAGGGACACTACCCAGACTAGGACCACTTCAGAAAAGTTCGTTGCCTATCCGGTTCGTTCGGTTCGGTCCTAAATTGTCCTAACGGAAATTGAACCTAATTCCAGTTAGGACCAATTCCGGAAACGAACTTTTACTGAATGTTCCTAACATGAATTAGGTTTAATTTCCGTTAGGTCCTAAATTGGCCCTAACGGGAATTTAACCTAATTCCAGTTAGGACCAATTTCGACTTCTTCTAGCGCTATCCATTATAATTATGTACATGTCGCGTCATTGTTAAGGAACGTTGTATCAGTAGTTAAGGAGAGTACTCCACGACTTTCTTTGTTCAGAAACGTCACGTCAGTTTGAAGCTCAAATGGGTGAGGTGGCAAAGAAGATGGCGGTGTTGTCGTTTGGATGCGTTCAAAATTATAAACGTCATCCGACATGATCCGATTATAACCAAAAAGTTGCAAAAGGGAGCGAGAATACTTTACAAGTGCGCAACGACATGCAGGGATTTTTGGTGTCAACGACTTAGAAAATAAACTACCGTGGTGTTTTTGCTGCGAATTGGTCACGTGACATCCATATTGCTATATATTTAAAATCCATTATAGTGCAATTTATCTTTCGTACTTTCGAATTATTAATATGAAGAGCGAATAATCGAGTTTATTACAATCCTCAGATGTTATTATTTAATCGCCAACTGAAAAAATCGATAGTCTACTATTCGAAGTGTCCTTGGCAAGGAACCTCTGGGGTACCCCGACATAATATACCAATTTGTTTTACATTAACTATTATTGTTTACATTTGTGATGACTGTATAATTTGGTATCGTATTTTTAAAGGAAAATGTTTAAATATCGTGCAATTATTTTTTCACATCTACCTCATACGCTTCAAAGCCCGAGCAACCATGATACCATTTCGCCTTAACCAGACGCACACACAACTGTACGGACACTCTACCTGCAAATTAAAT